CGAATCCAAAGCCATAAGGCCGCAAGTATGGCCTTCCCTACCACCAAACTCCTTCTGAACAATCTGCCACAAGCCATCCGACAATTTAATATCTGAGTGGGACAGGCGCCTTGATGGAGCATCAGCAGGATTCTGACCAGTCGGAATGTAAGACATGTGCAGAGATAAGCTAAGCTTCGACGTTGTGAAGAAAAGCCGTTTCAATGCCATATTAAGCTCCAAGCTTCTACCACCCTGGTTGTTCCAAGCCTCGACAACGGCCTTATTGTCAACAAAAGCGTCAACTCTAGCATTGAACAGTTTGTCTTTAAAAGCCATTAACGCCATGTCGACCGCAGTAGCTTCATTCGCGGCGATCCCCCATTTGCACTGCTCTTCCGTCCAATAATCTGATATTTCCTCACGATGAGGGGCTAACAAATTAGCACCCCAGCCTGATGCGGAAGCATCAGTTGCAACAGACACACGAATATGACGCTCATCCCGCCATGTTACCGGATCATCCCAACCTTCCAAAAACAGCCAATGGGAGATCTCCTCACGCAGATCCCCCCTGATGGGTATTAGCCTGTGGGGAGTACGTTGGCCACCGGCAATAGCTGCATTCATCTGCTTCGTAAACAACTGGGCTGCAGGTACTGCTAGACTAAACGAGACACATTTCCCAACCAGGCGTTGCAAGGTTTTCACCATAACCTTAGAGGCATGGAGTATTTCACGGACAAGTTGCAAGAATTTCTCCTTCTTTTCCGGCTTTAAGCAGAACACCTCCCTAGAAGAATCCGCTAAAAAACCAAGGTAGGGAACCACTTTACTTGGGAACAATATTGACTTTTGCAAACCAAGGAAATAGCCCAAGCTGACAAGATGGTAAGCAACAAGAAATATAGCCGACCTAGCCGCCGCAAGATGACGATCATCAACAGTGTTAATAGTAGCGTATTCCCCCTTATCGAGTGCCACCTGCAGTTCGCCATTGTGTCGATCATCGATGTAGAGCAAACAAGGGATTCCTGTAGCTCTAAGGAAATTACTAGCCAACAGGCCAGTAGTATGATATACAAACGGGGAGATCTTCCACCCAAAAGGAAGGGTGAAATACCACCCTCCCCATTGGATCCCAAAATACGTGCGGCTGTCTTCAGAAAGAAGAATATGGTCATAGCCAGACTTATCGTCTAGGACCTTTTGGTAGGTATCCTTGCCCACGTAACGCGGTAAATCTATCTGCCTGTCTAAAGAGAAAGGCATATCACGCATCCATAAATTAAGATAGCGCGCATCGTGACATAACCTTGGCTTTGTTGGCTCAACTGTAAGGGGAAGAACAATAAATGGAGGGTCAACCACACCCACTCTCCCCAACAGCGAAATAGCTCCAGATCTCAAGCGCGCAACTAAGGTTTCCTCCACAAATGACACAAAGGGCTTGCAAGAGACATTGTTCTTAAACACCTTCATCGGAGGCTCGTCTGAATCGAACAATTCTCCTTTAAAACTTCCTTTAAAATGCTTGAAAAACGGCTTAATCGAGACCTTGTCCCTTATCCACCCAAGAATCTGTGCCTGTTGGGGTGACGAGCTATCTCGCGCAATGTACTGCCAATACTCGAAATGGTTATGCAATTCTCCAGCTCGAAAACAATTTGGGTCACGGAACAATAACTCCGAAATATCACCAATTAACTCTCCCCTCTGTATTCTCTGTAATCTAACACGGTCACAGGCTGTCACTTCTCCACTGACCTCGACGGGGTTACCGAAACAATCGACCCACGACATTGGAAGCTCAATTTCTTTGCCTTGTAACTCCTGAAGTCGAAGATCAAAGGAGTCAGATTTTTCCCAACACCACATGTTTCCCTAGGAAAAAGGGGTAGTGAAGACACCTTTAAACACTGAATCGCCGAAAAATCTAAGACCATATTAAAATCATCCCCGTCAAAGTCAGCAGAGAAATAACAGCTAAGACCAGCGAGGCTGGAGGGCCCTTGTCTCAAGGATACCCCTTTTTCAAAGTCGTTATAACTATGTTGACAAAATAGACAGAGTAAAATATGCACTAGATTGATTCAATACACACAAAAGTTTGTTTATTATCGCAAAGAGTTAAGCAATATTACAACACACAGCCTTGTCCAGGCGGCCTTCAACCTATAACACCGGTGCGATCTAACGAGATCTAAACACAAGCTACTTGTCTGATTTGGGATCCGTTTTCCTCTGCTTGGACTTCAAATCAGGACAATCAGCTTTGATATCACCTCGCCTATGACAAAAATAACATCGCAAAGAAAATAGACGAGACGGACGTGCCACACCAGCACCCCTGTTGTCGTTCGCTTGAGGCTTCTTGCGATTTGACTTCTTTTCTACTTTAGAAACGATATCCAGGACCCTCTCGTGGTCCTTGTCTCCTAATAGGCGCATAACAAGGTCCTTGAAGTGGTCCTTCGACAACTCCACCTTTTCCCTCGCCGACTGATGAACGAGCCGATAGTAGTTCTTCCTGTCATGATTACGGTCAGCGGCCTTGTTATGCAGAGTCTCCAACATCTCAAGCACCTCATACTTGTTAAACTCTGTCAACGGGCGGGAAGCATAAGCCAAGATCTGTTCCACGAGCTTCTCAGGCGACGCGTTGGTTACTGCCTCCACTGACTGCTTTAACTGTCTCACCTCCTCACGCAATCTCTGCAAAGGAACAAAGAGACTCTTAATCACCGTCCACCTCAATGTGCGAAGCACTTGGTGTTATGCATAAGAAAAACCTCATTACAGGCCTCGTGAAAAAACAAAAACATCACGTAACTTCTCGCGTTACCATGTATAAACATCCTTCGGCAGGCACAGCCAAAGGAGAAAATACAAGTAAGACGACCTAGCAACGTTCAACAATTAACGATGACTCATTATCATAACTCATAACAAACATCCAAAGGCCACATCAGCCGAAGGAAAAGACAAAACACAAATGACACCTCGCTGTCACCATTCGTAACCATCCCACGACCGCAAAAAGGCTGAAGGAAATACAAATAAGCGAATTCACGGCGTCTCTCTAGCCAAAAGCTAGATGTCACCGCCGAACAAAACGGCCACGTCGTTTGTACCATAAGCGAGTCCACAGCGTTCCTCTAGCTAAAAGCTAAACGCCCAACGCTGGTCCGTCAACCAACCACCGCCGAACAAATCGGCCACCTCGCCTGTACGGTTTGTAACCATCCAACGACCACAAAGGCCGAAGAAAATACAAACAAGCGAGTCCACGGCGTTCCTCTAGCCAAGAGCCAGACGCCGACCGCTAATCCGTCAACTAGCCACCGCCGAACATATCGGCCACCTCGCTCGTACGGTTTTGTAACCATCCAACGACCACAAAGGCCGAAAGAAATACAAAATAAGCGAATCCACGGCGTTCCTCCAGCCACAAGCCAGACGCCGAACGCCAGTTCGTTATCTAGCCACGCGGAATAGCCCGACAATCTTCCGAAAAGATTTCGATAACAGGCCGCGATCGGGCCAAAAAAGCTCTCCGTCATTGCCTCCACCATGCTGTGTGAAGAACCTGAAAGATACGACAGACAAGAGAAATATGCCACGAAAAAATTCATAACAACTAAAAGAGAACTACCTCCAGTTCCTGAGGCTGAGCGACATTAACATTCTGGTTGCCATCCGGTGGATTCACAACCAGCGGATTCACAACTAGCGGGTTCACGACCGGTGGATTGACGACTGGCTCTACAGGATCGACAAGTAACTGAACGTTCGGCTCCGGAGGTTGACCCTCAGCCATCAGGAAATCGTCAAGAAAATCGCGTGGGTCGTATCTTCCAAAAGAAAAGAGACCAGCTCTTGGCGGCTCCGCTGAAAAACTGAGCAAGAATGGTTTATTTTCGCGCCAAACCAGAATTTATTATCGGTAATTACGTAATCGCACGTGAGACCGCTAGACTAGCCATGAAAGAACCCATTATTGAATTATTTTAACCTCGCATATCATTATGAGTGTTGTGAATAGCTTTCTGTTGAAATGCGATTTGCATGCGTTTACACCTTTCTTCTGCAAAATTTTTCCTTGTACTTTTACTCTCTGTTTCATGCACACTGAGTTCGCAGTCCTTCAAGAAAAATTGAGTATTTTTTGTCGAAGATTTTCTCGCTGGGAAACGTATTATTGCCAGGTATGTTATCGTAAACAGAAGACCTGAAACCTTTTGATTTTTTACCGGATGCCTCTGCTTCTTAGAAATTTTTGCGTTTATATGGTTCGCTGAGCGGTTTACATGGGGAGCAAGTCACGAAGAAAGAGCACTACATCGAAGAAATGCAAGTCAAATTTTCCTGTTGGGGAGCTCAGTAAGCAGAGGGCTACGCTTCGAGCGGAGTACCTTTCGAAATCAAAGAATAAGGTAAGTTTAGCTTGAAAAAAGTGTTTTTAGTGAAAGGAGAGGACTACCGTGTGGCACGAAAATTTTGCGGGTTCTTATTTTTGCGATTTTCCCATCGATCCGCTAAAATTTACTCCAGAGTAAATGTTCTCTAAGTTAAATTCGCTACATTCATTTCGTACAGAAGTAGTGGGAAGAAGTTGATAAAATATCAAGCAAATTCATCTTGTGTGATCATGTCCGCAATTCTCATGACCACTCTGTTTAACAAAGTATTTATATTACAAGGAGAAATTTGATGCTGATCATTCATAGGGCTTAAAGGGTTAACTTACGTTCTTGAACTTGCAGAAAACTCGCATAAAAGAAAATGTTGATTCGGTAAAAGTTGATCTTCCCGCTGGCGGTCAAGACTAAAAGAAGGTTAGTTTTTGAAGTGACAGCTAACACATCCGCTCTAAGAAAAAAAGTCCAACTGTGCTCACTGATGAGGGAAAGCTAAACGTGCCGCAGCGAAGTGCCAGCAGAAGACAACTTGAAACGTTGGTTGCAGCAACAGAGGTAAATGGTGGATCTGTTGAAGACAGATCCCCAGCCTTGGATGGCATGTTTTCTACGCTTACTAAGTATGCGAAGACAGCAGCTCTATCTAAATACTTTTCTTCATCAAAAAAGATGAGAAAAGCTAGTGTAGCAGTGATAAAACCTCAGGTTAAGCAGTATGAGCAAAGTGATCATAATGTCATTCGTTCACTTTCTATGCTTTATGCAGGAGGATTGATGGGAAAAGTAAAATATGAACAAACAAGATCAGCTCTTGTTATGAAAAGTACTAAGAAACACACCAAGAAACTAGGTTCTGTGTCAAAAGAAAGAGTTTTGTTTGGTATGGGTATCCCAATTCCTAAACTCCTTCCCTATGGGTTGTTAATGAAAAAAATTGAAGAAATTGATGTGGGGGAATTTTATTCAATAAGGGAAACCCTATGCCATGACCTTCCAACTGATCAGCGGGTTGATGGGGTCTAAAGAAACCTGGAGAACTTTCTACTTCTGCTGGCCAAGTTCTATTTTGAGACTGATCAGTACACTGAAACCTGGGGATAAGCTGGTGTGGTTCAGTGAGAGGAAGGGAGCATTTAAGGTTGCCATAGGGGGTGATGGGGCTCCTTTTGGGAAATGGGATCAATCTATGTCATGGCTGATAAGTTTTTTGAATGTGGGGCCCAGGGCAGCTAGTCCCAATGACAAGTTTTTGCTCTTTGGAGCTAATTGTAAGGAGGACCACACGGTTGTTTCTCGTTTTACAGTGAAACTTGCTACAGACATGGAAAAAATAGAGAGCAAATCTTACACAGTATTGGGTAAGAATGTCACCTTTTCTTTTGATCTCCTGCCAGGAGATATGAAATTCCTTGTATATATAAATGGGGAATTAAGTAATGCAGCTAAATATTTTTCTAGCTTTGCTAATGTCTCCAAAGATGACTGTAATGCACTGAATGGGAAGTATGGAGAATCTCATGATTGTAAATGGAAGCCTTGGCAGTATGCAGAAAGAATCAATTTTGCAAAACAGGTTGAGGATTTCAAGAAAAAAATACCTAGTCATTTAGCAGTATCAACAAAGAGATTCAAAGTAACTCAATTTATTGCTGTAAAAAAATCCAGACAAGAATTCAAACCATTAATTGGTAAGCTATGTGACAAGGAAGTTGTTGAACCACCTCACCTTAAGAATAATGGTGTCCAACATTTTCAGGCAATGTTACTTGATCTTGCTATTTCTGTAAGTAACCTCCCCCAAAAATTAAATAGCCTTGATGATTTGCCCTCCAATTCGGCAATGTCCAGATATTTAAAGGCCATGGAACAAGATGTTAAAGCAGGGAGAATGAAAAAACAACTAGGTAGGTGGCTCCTTGAGGATAGAGCTAAAGATAAAGACTTCACTTACAGGTTAACTGGTAAAGATTCCCGCCTAATCTTGCATGGCTTTATGTATCTATTGAAAGCAATTCAGGGTGACTCAAATGATCCCAAGTTGCTAATGCGACTTCTGCCAATTGTCTTCATTGGTATTCGACTCAGGGTTTTTAGGTATGGTAATAAAGATGAAACAAAGGAAAAATAAAAATTAGTTGAGATAAAAAAAAATAACTACAACATATACATATATATGTTGCTGCCTCAACTCATTAGTAACTGTATAGAAAACACTGTTCCCTCTTCAATGATGAAGGATACCAAAGGCATTCCAATGGCCATAATGGAATTTCAATTCCAACATTTCTTCTTTATATTTATATTTCATAATTCCATTCTACCTTTCATCAACAATGAGTTTCACTTCCCCTTTTCCAACTCCTAGCTTCTTTGTGAATCCTTGGCAGTCCTCAGATTTATTACAGTCAAACCAGGTCAAGCGTTCCCGTCGCTAACAAACTAATGAATTCATTAATGGGAAAATGATGTCGTTTGTTGATTCAATAACCCACTCATAAAATGAATAATCCAACAGTCAAATTGTACCTCGATTCAATAATCAAATGTTGATTTGATTTATGAACAAAATCTACCTGTTCTTTATTCTTGTCTGTTGTGTTCAATCGTATTTGCTTCCCTTTTCCTGCCGTTTACGATTGCGTTTTTCATTGCCTTTAATCAAAATAACAGCTAGAATAGACAGACCGCAAACGCAAAGAAACTGACAAAGGCCGAGGATCGAAATCCACCAATCACCGCACATACACTGACCTCAGTTTGACCGTCGTGTTTTCTAAGAGGTCAGGCCTAGGTCTGTTGCACTGATTACTGGCAGCAAACTGGCGTACATGTAACAGTTTGTTTGGGTTTGAACTTCAGAACTCGCCAGCACTCGACTCTCAGAAAAAAAGAGGAAAAAACAAAATTCTGAGGTCAACTTGTGGAAAGTGTAATTTTTCAAAAAACAGTAATCGAATCAACATTCGATTATGGAATCGAGGCTAAATATGACTATTAGATTGTTCATTTTATGATTGGATTATTGCATCAACAAACGAAATCATTTTTCCGTGAATGAATTCATTAGTTCGTTAGCGACGGGAACGCTTGACCTGGTTTGACTGTCAATAGGGCACACAGTCTTCTCATACTTGAGAATGTTATTGTGACTGAATAAGGCTGCTCCAAAACATCTACACCAAAACGTGTAAGATTTACAACTCCTTTATTCAATAAATTGAACACTTCCTGTGGCATCGGGACGTCAAAGAAAATCATCCAAGGATGGATTTTACTCAGATCATCCGCGGACTAAGTCGGCGATAAACTCCTTTCTTAGCACGTATCATTGTGCGCTCCAACATGGAAGATATGGGACAAGTTTCAAGCTGATATCGATCCCGAAGGGGACCGTATTTTCCCTTCACAACAGCCTCAGCCACTTTCCCTAGCGCTTGAAATGTTTGATCTAGATCTCTCAGCTTATGTACCTTTGAAATCCGCCGGGAAAAATTCGACTTCTGGCGATTTAATGCTCCTTTAATGCCACTAATAATTTCCACTTGGTCAGGTTCCCTTTAAGCCGCCATTTTTTTTTTTTGATTCACATGGACCCAATCCTCCGCGCGGCCGCGAAAAGTTGGCCGAATTTTTAGGTCAAAATTTCCAAGCGTGTTGAACTCACGACCCTCCGAATACCACTTGTTTATCGGACGTTCCAACCACTGAACTGGAGAGTCGCGAGTTCGATTCTTGGCCGGGGCATGGAAATTTCCTTTGTCCCGGGCGAGCATGGTTTCCCCTCCTTCCAAGTTGAAAATGTTCACTGGAAATGTATGTGTGCTGCTAACTAGTGTATCATTAAAATTGAGTTTCAGAAGCCCTGCAGAAAAAACAAACAAACAAACAAACATTCTTCGGTAACTATCTAAATGCAAGCAACAGACCAGGCTTTTGATGCTTTTCTCATAAATAATTCAGTAGTCTAATAAATAAGCAAATATATATTCTAGGCGACTGAAACTATCATTTTCTTTTAATGAAGCAAATTCATTGAGAAAGATGGTCGACATTTTACCTTCCTGGAGGTCATGCAGGAACTGGCACAAGATAAACAAAATGGCCCCTGAAAGCCACGGAGAAAAAAGGATGATCTGGCCCAAGAGCCATCATGGCTCTTGTCTTGCCTTTTTTACCCTCCAAATGGGTTAAACTTTCAGTTTTGCTGATTTAATTTAATTTTTTTGATTGCTCCGAGTTGATCCGAGTCCAATTTTATTTTATTTTTATTTTTTTATTCGATCCGAGTTGGTCCAGAAAGATCCGAGTTGATCCGACCCGGACTGGCGGTCCGAGTTGATCCGGTCCGACTTTTGTACCTGCCTATCGAAAACAGGTTCGAGTTATCGATCGGGAGTTCGAAGAAAACAGCCGAGATTAAGGTAAAAAACAGTTGTTACTGCACAGTGAACATTTTAATCACATTTAATTGTAGAAATGCCAAGTGAAAATTAAAAGATACTTCTAGATTATAAATCAGAACGTAACGTAACAAAACATAGCCTAAATAGAGCATGCGGTTTATTGTTTTGAGAAGAAAAGCTGCTTCACGTTAGCCAGTGACAATCAGCATCAACCTCCACTAGTAAACTAGCTCCTACAACACGTCAATAGGAAATCCAAAATTCAATGTTTCGGACACCAGTAGGCGGCTTTTTCCCGACTTTTTAAGGGCTCAAAACATGGTTCGAGATATCGAGGGTAAATTTAGTATAGAAAATGACCTGAAGGGAAACGAAAATTGGTTCGAGTTAGCGGGAGTTCAAGTTAGTTCATTAGTTATCGGGAGTCGACTGTACAACATCCTCGCTGCGATCGATCAAGTGAGCGAGAGTCGAGGGGATCATTTCAGTCACACCCTTCTGACATATCGATGACCCATCTGGTTTGGGTCGATTTTATCCAGGGACCGCGGAGGGGGAGGGGCTGGTAGGGCCGCGGCCCCGCCACTTTTTTGCGGCCCCGCCCCCACTTTTTGCGCTAAAAAGAAAAATAATTAAAATAAAAGAAAGACTTGAAACAAGTTTTTTCCGTCTAAATTCCGATATATTCTCTGTATTTTCTTTAATTTTAAACGCCAGGCATTTTGTGGGGCTCCGGTGCTTTTCGCGGTAATTGTGCCCTGGGGCTGACTTGCCCCTTGACCAAACGCCATGCCTTGGCCACCCCTTCACTTCGTTCGGCAGCGTGTTTTGTATTTCCAGCTCCGGCAGAGTTTTTTTTTAATCAGTTTTATCAGACAAAATGAAGAAAATTACTAGCTTTTTCAAGCCAAAGGAGGGTGAGTAGTTGTTTTGAGTTGATAAAAGTTTTATATTTTGTCTTTCTCCTTTCGAATCAAGGAAATATTCGATGGCAAGAAGAATTCATTACTTGAACAGTGAACGGCCATAGTTAAAAATTTTTCAGATCACTTCAGTGTAGTATTTTCTATACTATACATAAATACATACGAGATGTCACTGATACTCGTGCGAGATAAACGAGATGTCGTCAAGAATGCCGACCTATAAAGAGCAACAAATGCTGGATAAAGTATGCAAAGTCACGCGACAGAAACAAATCAAATACTATGATTTTATTCCTTTTTTCGATTTTCAATATGAAAAAAATATTTTCAATTGTCAGCCCTCCCACTTTTCACCTTGCTGCGCGGCCCCTGTTATCTAGTGCTTTCCCGAAGTGTGAGCCTCGGTAGAAGGTCATTCATCACCAAGCATATCCGGCCGTGTTCGAAGAAAAACAGGAAGTCTCAGAGCAACTTCCTCAGTGGAAGATTCAATCAAAAAGCTACAGTATCTGTTATAAGATCTCTACGTGGGGTGACAGCTCTAACAAGGGCTGTTTGGGGAGAAAAAAAAATTTATTCCGGGAATCTGGAAATTTTGCCGGGAATCGGGAAACCTGGGAAATTTTTCGGGAAATTTGAGATATTTTCGGGACATGGAGCAAAGATTTGATATTACATGTTATGAAACAATATA